AAAAGGAGAGAGGGTAGGAAGGGGACGAGGAAGAGTAGGAGTAAGAGAAAGGGAAGGGAAGAAGGAAGGGGAAGGAGAGGAGGAAGGAAGAGAGAGAAAGAGAAGGAGAGAGGGTAGGAAGGGGACGAGGAAGAGTAGGAGTAGGAGAAAGGGAAGGGAAGAAGGAAGGGGAAGGAGAGGAGGATGGAAGGGAGAGAAAGAAAAGGAGAGAGGGTAGGAAGGGGACGAGGAAGAGTAGGAGTAGGAGAAAGGGAAGGGAAGAAGGAAGGAGAAGGAGAGGAGGATGGAAGGGAGAGAAAGAAAAGGAGAGAGGGTAGGAAGGGGACGAGGAAGAGTAGGAGTAGGAGAAAGGGAAGGGAAGAAGGAAGGAGAAGGAGAGGAGGATGGAAGGGAGAGGAAGAGAAGGAGAGAGGGTAGGAAGGAGAAGAGGAAGAGTAGGAGTAGGAAAAAGGTAAAGGAAGAAGGAAGGGGAAGGAAGGAAGGAAGAAAGTAGAGAAAGGAGGGAGGGAGAAAAGAAAGGGAAAATAAGGTGGTGTTACAACAGGAGGGATGGTAAATAAAGCAACCCAAAGTGTATATTATAATATATTAAAGGAAATAATAAATGTATAAGAATGATAAATGTAAAGAAAAATAACAATTATGTGAATGTATACTTAAAATGGTATGTAAGAAATAAAAAAATAAAAAATTCTTAGAAAAAATTAAAAAAAATAAAACTGTTGCAGATCTCTGCATTTGAGAGCAATGAGATTTTAATAGTTGGATTTGTGCCATCACTATCATTTATTTTAACATGTGGATGGAAACAGCCTGTGCAGGAAAATATTTCTAAGTGTGTTTCTTAAATCTCTTTGATAAATGACTTTAGGGCAGATTTTTCTCGGAGGATAACAAGTAAATATTAATGAAAGGCAATTATATAACCTAAGAATCCAATGGATCCTTGCCAAGTTCTCTCTTTCTCAAAGCCAAATTAAACCTTTCTGAGTTTGTTCAAGGTCTGTTTTGTCCATACAGAGCCATATAGAGCCAATGTAATTAAAAAACCGTAGAGGTAGATTAGGATTATTTTATCTAAATTGCCACACAGTTTTGAAATTCATGGTATGGTATTAATAGAACATTAGCACTGAGCTTAGCTTACATCACAGAAATTGATAGGAGGATACAGTTTGTAGCAGATAATGGAGACCATGATTTTGCTCTTATGTTTCTTGGAGGGACAATGGTGCTTTCCGAAGTTGAGTTATCCAAAAATAGAGCTCTTTGGCAGAATCTTGATTGGAATCTTCACAAAATGGCTGCTGAGAGATTCACTTAGTCACAAGATGCCCGTCGCAGTGACATAAACATGTACCAATTTGCTGGCAACTCCGTAGACCAGAATATTTTGAACTCCCCCTTGGTCTTTTTTATTTTCTAAGATTTCTGAGGTTCAATTAGATTTCTAGAAATAAAACAAGGTGGTTTTTTGCTTGCTTACTTTTTAAAATTATTTTAAATTTCTTTTTAATGATAGATATATGTCTGTGATGTCATCATGATTTGAGAAGCATCTCAAATTATTACTGCTAAATTATTTTCTTCAAAGATATTTAGGGTGTGTTCGTTGTAGCATAGTGTTAAGTAATAATTTACATTGAGAGGCAAATTTACAAATTCATTTGCATCTCTCTCTCTCTCTCTCTCTCCCTTCTCTATGCATAAATACAGTTGTTCATTGAATAAGTTAGATGCTGAAAAGTGTATATTTTCCATTTAGCATTCCATAAGCTATATACAATTACCTGGATTGTTATATCTGTTTGCTTTGTAGAAGAACAGCACCAAAGAGTGTTTCCTTCAGAAGACATTACAGAGACTTGAACGCTACTTCTTCTTGATTGCTTTCAATTATTACCTTCATGAACAGGTGAGTGTACCTCCATGAATCATCATCTTGCAATGTGCACTTTCCAATCCCTGCTGCAGACAAGTGACTCATAACAATCATGTTTGGCCATGTATTGTCTCAAAGGTCCATCTCTTCCTTCATGGTTTATCAGGGTATAGTTCATATGATCAGATATACTGTAACTAAATTACATCTCCCATTAACTCAATACGCAGTAAGTAAATGAGGGAAACGGAATTTTGTTCTGACTACAGTAGAGAATTACATCATGCCTACCCATGTTACAGTTCATTATTCCATAGACTGGGGCTGTGGGGTGTGGGTGTGGTGGGGGAACCTGTGGAGATTGGGGAAGGCACAGGCGGCAGAAATGGAGTAGAAAGGTAGGGCGCGCTGGGGGGGGGGGGGGGGG